AGATAATTTTAATATTCCTCTTGTGAAACTTTTAATGCTATTCTCATTGAGGCATATTTACCAGTTGAAGCTACCTTTTCAAAACTAAGACAGTTGTTGTCAGCTTACAGGGCCCACTGATATAGGATTAGGTCCATAGTGACAAGACAGTGTTCAAATATTGAGCAAAAGGCTTGCTCAGCTTAGTCACAATACCTTTTCTGACATTGCAAGTTGCCAACTGTCTAAATGCCATCATGGTGGGTATGTGTATTTGTATTGTATTCAAGAGCTGCATTACATCTAAAGTTCGAATGTTTCATCTCTGTTTAGTGTAGCTTGCATCGATTTCTCATGGCATGAAACCTCTTTTTCTTTAGAAGTCTTATCAGATCTGATGCTTAGGAACATCCAAACTCTTTCTGAAGACAAGTTTAACTTTTCGTGGGCCCAATTTCTCCTTCATGTAACTCCACTACAGTTATAATAGAGATCTGTACCCCAATATGTGAGCTCTCTCAATATGAACAAATGTGTATGACATCAGTATGAACTGTGTATACTGTTTATCTGTATTTATTTATTGTTCTTTGGGTAACTGTTTGGCACTTACCATAAAATAAAGACAGTATAAAAATACTTAGGGCTACTTGGCAGTTAGCAAACACTAGCATCCCTTTAAAGGAGGGAAAGATTTGTTTAGACTTAAGGACTTAACCCTTCTTTCTTAAAAGGATTAATAGTCATCTTTAAGCATTCAATCAAATCTTTGAGGTCAAGTGGCAATGACCCTGGCTTTAAATTTTGATCAAAATCTCTAGATGTTGCATGTCCTATTTATAGCACACTAGGTACTATAATTCAGTATGAGCCTGCAATGTGATGAAGCTGCACAAAAAGCAAATGTGCCTTTTTGGATACATCAATAGAAGTATTAGGTGTGAAATATGGGAAGTGATAGTGCCTGTCTACCTGGATTTGATTAGGCCTCATTTAGAGTATTGTGTGCAGTTTTGGTCTCCACATTTTTACAAGGATATGTAGAAGTTAGAGAGGGGCCAGAGGCAGGTGACAAAAATGATCAAGGGCTTGGTAGGCAGATCATGAGGAAAGGCTGAATGAAATAAGCATGTTCAGCTTATGGAAGTTTTTTCTCTTCCTGCTGCTGCATGTCAGCTTATTTGATTATTTTTTGCTTTTGTTTTTATTTTTGCCTTCCTTGGAAACATAGGGTGTTGGCTGTAGCCAAGGCTAAGGATCTTGACGGGGGTGTGCTAATGCTTCTGCTAGGGTTTAAACGTAGAGATGCCTTGCTAGAGAGTCTTGCACGTGAGCAGAGGAGCAAGACTGATCACCATATTGGGGGTCAGGAAGAAATTTTGCCCCCGGTCAGATTTGGATTCCCTGTAGGTGTGTTTGCCTTTATTTTGTAGTGGGGAGTATGGTCCTCTTCCCTGGATATCTCATACATTTTTAAACAACATTTTTAAACAACCCCAGCTTTCCCTGCTCATGGAGATGTGCCCTGGAGATTCCTAAACATACGGCTCTGTAAGAGGGGAAAGCTGGCCAACCACTCCTGGGAAATGAAGGGCCCGATCCTACATGGGGCATTCTCAGGGCACTCAATATCAGAACCTTCAAGACCTGGGAGCGCCTGCCTGAGGTAGCAAAAGAGCACGGGTAGCTCTAGGTTGCCCGTGTTCTCTCCCCATAAAGCAAATGGATGCCTCCCATGAAAAAGCAGCACAAATTATTATTACTTTTTGTCATAGCTATAAAGGTATTTATGGCAAGACACAGGACATAGACATCTATTTGGTTTTGCCCTGTGCTGCCATAAAAATGGTCATGGTGGCACAAATGCGGTATCTGTTTCTAGCCTTATACCTTGGGGAGAGAAGGGAAAGATTGTACTTGAACAAGTTTTGAAATACTAATGTTTAAATTAATACACCTAGTTTGCCTCAGCTGATTCAGAGTATTTTAGTAAGCAATCACATGTATCAAGTAACTAAACTGAAGTGCTAAATACCATGTGTTCAAGACCTTGAATCAGCAAAGGAATAACATCTCCAGATTTAAATGAATATTCATGCATGCTTAATATTAAGCACATGCTTAAATATCTTGCTGAACTGAGTACTTAATGCTCCAATGATAGTAAGCATATTAAGCATAAAGTATATGCTAAGGTTTTTACAGAAGCCCATATTATGGCTGGATTTTAAAACTGAAGGAATATCTGTGAGTGAGAATTTCCCTGCCTTTCATGGAGTCACACTCTGCTAAGGAGATAAGTTGCATCGAGGAGTTGACGGGGCGGGATGCTGAAGTGGCACAATTATACCTTCAAGAGTATAGTTCACCAGTGGATAGCTCCAGTTCCCTGCACCACAGATGCCTGGGTCCAATGCAGAGTCTGAGGCACGGCTGGAGCCCCTGGCTGATGGGGGATACCCAGGGGATGGAGCAGAGAGCATGTGAGGAAGGGATACCTGCTCATCACTGCTGCCATTGTCTCCAGCTGACTAAGAGCAGAGGAAGCCCTAGGCCACCCATGTCCCTCTAGCTGAGAGCTGCTGGGAGTGGCTGCAGGCGGTGCTGGTGATGGCAGCGACAGCATTAGGCAGTTCCTTGCTGTCCCTTCCCTCAGATTTCTTGCCACAGCCCAGGGGCCCCAGCTGCAGGGAGTAGCTATGTTGGGTGCCCGGGAGGGTTAGGGTGTCAGTGAACAGTTTCCCCCTCCCTTAGCACCTGCTCCTGACCAGTGGGGCACACCTGAGGAGACATAATGGGGAGCAGGTACTGCAGGGGAGGGGACACTGCCCACTGCTGCCTCTGTCCCAAGCTGATCCCAGCTAACTGAAGCCCAAGGTAGGGTGGGACAGGAGTGCCTCTGGGGCTTCCCTGCCCTTGGGTCATCCAAGAACAGTGGTGGCAGCAGATAGGTCTCCCCTTCCTATACCCAGAGGCAATCTCTGCTGGAGAGCATGAGGAGAGAATGGGAGGGGAAGGAATACGCTACTGAATGTCAGAGGCGAGGGGTGCTCAGAATATACCTGCTTCAGTATGTCAAAAAAGTCCCTGGCTAATGCTGCTGCAGTACAATCTGTCTATGGGGAGTGGCGGAGGGGCACCTGTAGCAGCATCCCTGCAGCATCAGTCACATAGTTCATACCCCTTTTTTGAAATCCTAGAACTGCCTATGGCTATCTCTCCCCTTTATTTTAAGCCTGAAAAGAAATTATTAGTTTGTCTCTTTGGCATAGAGAAGATAGCTATTCTACATCTTTGTGTAAATAGCTAGTGTTATCAATGAAGGAAAACCTTCATCCTCCCACAAGAATCTTTTCACTCCTTCCCAGTATTTTCCTCCTCCAAATTATTCCATAGTATGACGTTCAAATACATTGGACATATTTGTTAGTAACAAAGGAAAAAATACTTCTAGAATAGATGAGTTCTCTCACCATTCTTCCTTCATTGTGAGAGGATTTTTGCATAAGTGGGTACGCAATGTAAACAAGTCTTCCAGCCCTTCACACTTTCCCTTGTGATTGTATACTTTGAAATAACATCTAAAATGTCATTGTAATCTGCTCTTCATTTTCAATAGAAACCTTCAAAATGTGAATAATCTTATTCTGTTACTTTATAATATTGGCCCATGCAAAGTATTTGGAAAGGTCATACAAAAAAAATTTCTGGATCTAAAATTCATGCTTTTAGCCTTTCATGTGGATTAACTGACTCTGAAATTGAAACAGCCTTGAATGAGACTGACACGCTAGAATCCATAGATTTAAATAATTTAAAATATAGGAGTAGATGACATCTAAGGTTATCCCCAAAAGGCACAGAAATCAGGGGAGACTTTTTTCAGTTTGTGATGAAATTATAACTCTAACCTATTTCCCTCTCTCAGTGTCTGATTGAACATTTTCAGAAACTGGTTAGATTATTTTTTCCTTCCTCTACTGGGGAGAGTTCAGAGGTCTGGATTTTTGTTTGCTTTGTTCTGTTTTATCCTGAAGTTCTTTCTCCCCCCCAACCCCACTTTGGAAAAAAAAAGATGTGTTTCTTTTTCCAGTATCTCTACTGCTTTTTTCTCACTTTTTCTTTTTAATAAAATATTACTAGGGAATAATTTTCTTTTTGTTCATCAGACTATCTTCATATTCTAATATTACAGCTAGTTAATCTTTTTTCTCTATTTTCCTAGTAGAAAAGGGAATTTTGTTGACAATTTTCCATGAGAAGAAAAAAGAAAAGAAAAAAAAAGAAGTTTTCCTGAAGGAAATTTTTTAATGAATTGGGTTATTTTAAGGTCACATTGACAGTTGATTTCTGGGTCTGTCCAAACCACTTCAGTATGTTACTGGAATTGGTCATTCTGGCTCACTATTGGTATTACATTTACTATGATAGATGCCAACTCTTGAGGGACAGTCTGGTGTTCAGTGGTTCTTATAGATATTAATGTTGATCTGAAATGAAATGTTTATACAAAAACATACGTTGCTCACATCTTGTGTAATAGCCTAGTGGTTAGGCACTCCTTCAAAGTGACACTTGGATGTCTAGACCTTCCTTAGGACCTTATTAACACATAAAACTTGTTTCAAGCATCGTTTAGACAGTTTAAAGTTGCACCGCTCCAGGCTAGGTTTTTCTCTGATCTGTATTACCCAGCTTGCGTAACACTAAGGGGTAGCCACTCTAAGCCTGGATTGAGCCTGTTGCCCCTTTCCATGGATTGGGCCCACTATTTCTAATCCCCCCCTTCCCCCGCCCCGAACTCCAGATCCCCAATCACCACTTTTTGCCCTTCCCAGTATTTTGACTGCTGGTGCTGTACTGGGGGAGCAGGCAGGGAAGGAGAACCTGGCTGCCCAGCCACTACTGCCATTCTCTGGGCTGGGCTGGGCTGGGCTGGGCGGGTGGCTACAAATAAGCTGGGAGATATCATAGGGGACAGAGTATGAGCCATGAAGGCCAAGAGGGGCAGGGGGTGTTCTTACCTTTCAGTCCTCAAAGCCCCTGCTGGTTGGAATATGTGACTGCTCCAAACTTGAGCTAGCACTATCACTGATCAACATTTGAGCAGTTCAAAGTCAATGTGTAACAAGACCCTAAGGCTGAAGAAGGTGTTAGTTAGTCCGTAGTTTCCACCTTCCACGACTGATTTCTAACCGCTAGGCTTAATGCTAGATTGGAATGAGCATCGTCCTCACTCATCCTGCTGAAGCTGTTACAATGTGTCCAGGAATACAACATTCGCAGAGACAGAGGCAATACTCCCCTGGAGAGGACAGTCCAGAGCTCTGCCTCCTGCTTCCAGGGCTCATGATTTTTGTCAATGAATCTAGTGGAAAATGCAGCCCTTTGAGCAGTGCACACAGCATCAAGTTAAGGACTTGTATTTTCTCTTGTTTACTCTCCCTCTTACTCTTCAGAAAATAGTTTTATAAAAATAGAATTACATAAATATGTAACTTTAAGATCACAATGCACTTACTCAAGTCACAAATAGTTGATATTCAAACTCTACACACTGTTCCTTTTTTTAAGTATCTGAAGTAGTGTTGTTTAACTGCAATCATATAACTAACTTCTACATGTGTGCTTAAGATATACAGATCTTGTTATACTAAGGAGCTTTGAATCACTCTGTGGAAGAATTACTCCTTACTAAAAAATTATTGGTTTCAGGCACAAACCGGGACTTGGACAAACATTGGTTCAACCCAGCTCAGCCACACAGTGCAAGACCTTTGTAGTTGCACACTTTCTGTGCACATCAGTTTCTAACCTGTGGAACCAGAACAGTAATTGTTCCTTTCTTATCTAATTAGCTGTTTGAACTTTCCATGGCACTGATTGTCTTTCATGGAGTTTCTCTAAGGCCCTTGGTAGACATTCAGTTAAAGGTGCGATGGGATCCAATCCACAATCCCAACAGTTGTGCCTCCTGCAAGGCAGGAGGACTGATCGTGAGATCTAGGATCAGATCCCAAACATGCCTAATAATGGAGCAGGGGGAGCCTAGGTTCATGATGCTGGGCTCTCTGTACACTGGCAAGTAGCAAGCCAGTCAGCTAATCACTGCTCCTAGCCTCTGGGGAACATGAAAGTTAAGGTGTGCCCCCATGGCTGGGAAGCCTGATCAGCTGATTTTCCCAGCCCCAGGTTCAATTTAAGATGTAATAGAAACCTGCCAAAACATTATTACAGTACATACTTTGTTTAATGACTTTGCGGTGTATTCTCCATTTTATTGCACCATTAAGTGTGTGAATGTGTGGTTGGGTTACTACTTAACATGAGATTAACTGGTCTTGAGTGTAACGTCTGCCAGGATCCTAAAGTGTCTCAGAAAATATTACTGTAATGCAAGTGTTGCTGTGATACAAATGATGATCATTTATGGAGCCTTTTAGGTGTGACTTCATTGTTCTCAAATATGTTTAAAAACACTTTAGAAATCCACCGAAGTTAATTATAATGCAGTATTTAAATAGGAAATACCCAGAGTATTTTCCTAAATGGTAAATTTGTTGCATCATTAGGAATGTTCAGATATAGGACTTCATTCACCAATGATTTTTCTGTTTTTGGGTTGGGTGCACCTCATTTGAAAGTACACTGAGTGCCACTTGCGTTGGAAACACTGGAACAAAATAACATATCCCAAACTGACTGAGTTTAAGGGGTTTTTTTGTTTTATCCCATAAATAATGTGAATGCAATATTTAATATTGTCTGTATGCAAAGTGATAAAAGGGCTCGGTCCTGGGGCCTGTGCTGTTCAATTTCTTCATCAGCAATCTAGATGATGGGGTGGAAAGTAACCTGTTTAAATTCGCTGATGACACCAAAATTTGGGGGGAGGTGAGCACGCTAGCAGGGAGTGAGAGATTGCAGAAGGATCTGGATAGGTTACAGGGGTGGGCTAACAGGAACAGGATGCGTTTCAATACGGACAAGTGCAGGGTGCTGCACTTGGGCAGTAGGAACCAGCAGCACACTTACACAATGGGGAACTCCCTACTTGAGAGCACGGAGGCAGAAAGAGATCTTGGAGTCATTATTGACTCCAAGATGAACATGGGCCGACAATGCGAGGTCATGGTTGGCAGGGCTAACCGGACCTTATCGTGCATCCACAGGTGCATCTTGAGTAGAGCCAAGGAGGTGATCCTCCCCCTCTATGCGACGCTGGTCAGGCCACAGCTGGAGTATTGTGTCCAGTTCTGTGCGCCCCATTTCAAGAGGGATGTGGACAACATGGAGAGGGTCCAGAGGAGGGCCACCCGCATGATCCGGGGACAACAGGGCAGACCCTACAGTGAGAGACTGCGGGACCTGAACCTATTCAGCCTCCACAAGAGAAGGCTGAGGGGGGACCTGGTGACCGTCTATAAACTCACTAGGGGGGACCAGAAGGGTTTGGGGGAGACGCTGTTTCCCCTAGCGCCCGCTGGCATAACAAGGAGTAATGGGCACAAGTTGATGGAGAGGAGGTATAGATTGGACATCCGCAAAAACTACTTCACAGTTAGGGCGGCTAGGAGCTGGAACCAACTTCCAAGGGAAGTGGTGCTGGCCCCTACCCTGGGGGTCTTTAAGAAGAGGCTGGATGCCTACCTGGCTGGACTCATTTGAGTCCCGTTTTTGTTTTGGGGGGTTTTTTTGTTCTCCAGCCCTGGCGGGGGGTCGGGCTAGAAGATCTACTAGGTCCCTTCCGACCCTAAATCTATGAAACTATGAAACAAGGCTAACAAGGCTATAAAGACCCATGTCACAAGTTACAGGAACAAACAGAAAATTAATTAGTAGTACTTGAGCTTTGGAAGATGAACAGTACTCAGTGTTTTTGTCCTTGTGCATTGGAAGACTCCATGAGAGTTTAGTAGTCCAGAATCCTTGACTGGAAATTGTATTACAAATGAATGTAGGACAATTGAGCCAAATTTTAACAAATAGTTAAGGATTTAGACCATTTGGCACTAAAACAAAACTTTCATTGACTTTATTGGGAATCTTTCTGAAGACCACACAGTATATTGTAACCATTTAAGTAGACTGAATTAAAAGCATCTCACCTCTACAAATAATTGTTCAGTTGGTTTCAGTGTTTTCAATATTGGTTTTCTACTTGTCCATAGAAGGTTCTAGGGAGAGCATCTAAATGAAAAATGATAAGCAAAATAGATAAGACCAGATAAGTGTGTGTGTGTGTGTGTGTGTGTGTAGGGGTCGGGGGGCAGAGGCATACATGAGGTGGTGTGTGTGTGGAAACTTGTTTGCTCAGGGTGCCTCTGCAAGAAAAAGAGTCAGAAGGAGGTTTCTTTCATGCAGGCACACATGCCATGCAGATATAACATCCCCATCCACCCTCATCAGCAATTTTCAGACAAGAGATGTAGTACCTGTTCCCCAACCTCCCCGTCACCCCAGAAAGGGGAAGAGGGAATACAATTTATATTTGTTATATATTTTGTTATATATTTTCTTTCAGCACCACACCATAAATATTTTTTTCTTTTTTTAATGCAAAGAATGGATGAAGTGTGTTGGAATCCTTAGTCTAAAGATACAAACTTTTGTAAGATTTTGAAAACGTTAACTGAATTTTTCATGTCCTGATTCTATGAAGTATATATGACAAAGAGAGTCAGTTGTTACCAGATTTCCAGCACAGTTCATCAGACTAAACAGTTTAGTCATCTTCAGTGTTGTGTTATTTTCTGAGCAAAATAGAAAAGAAACTGGACTTATGCACGCTGCATGAACACCTTGACCTTATGTGGTGACATATTCAAGAAACCTAATTATGATTTTACCCTGACAAAAACAACTGCTAGCAGTAGTGTAGCTGGGCATGGGTGGCAGGTGGCTTCTCAGCCCCTAGCATTTGTATAGAACAGGGGTGGGTAAAATGTGGCCTGGGGGCCAGATACCCACGGGGCCCTTAAAATTTATAAAAATGAATATTTATCTGCCCTGGGCTGCCTAGCATGCAGCCCATGATGGCTTGCCAAAACTCAGTAAGCAGCCCTCTGCCCAAAATAATTGCCCACCCCAGTATACAAGGTGTGCCAGTGTGGCCCCCATCCCTTTTCCCCAAGGAGTCTAAGTGGAATTAAGCCGCCTTGGGAGGGTTTGCCATGGAAAGAACAGTCTTGCTCCTGCTGAGGTAGAGGGTAGTAAATAGGTACCAGAAGCAGCTTCTGGGCTAAGTACAGACAGTCAAAAAGCCTGAGGCTGAACTGATTCAATCTTTACAGGTTACTCTAAACTGCAGAGGTTAAACTGAAACAGAAGTGAACAGACATTTACCTTTGATACAGGAAATGCAGCAACATGCCCTTAGTGGCTCATGCCAGAAACAGGTGGGGAGCAAAAGAGAATGGCTCTCTGTTCAATTCCTCTTCCTGCTGCCCCTGAGGTCTCTGGGATATGCAGTCCACAAAAATCACAGCAGCAGGACTCTGCAGAGTTGCTTATCACTTTCTGCTTCCAGGTGCCTCTGGGATTTGTAGTCCACAGTTGCAGCCCAGCAGTACTTTTGAGAAGCAGAGTTTAACTCACCTTGCTAGCCTCAGTCCCTAGCCATGGTTTGCCTTGGGGAGAGGGCAACCCCCCTGCAGACTGGGCTAAATCCTCAGCTGGACTTGCCTCCCCACCTCCCCCACTTGTCAGTTAGTCCTCACTACTCCAGTTAGGTAACAGAGGGGTGGTGCCAGCCCTGCTTTCTGGAGCAGACAGTACAGCCCAGCCCAAGGCCAGAAAATATGCCAGGGGACTGTGATTTAACTTGAACCAGGAAGGCACCTGGGATAGAAGTTTCATAAACTAGTTTAACCCAAATCAGTTTATTCTGATACTACATGCAGCCTGGTTTATAGTAAACCAGTTTCAGCCATTTTGAAACTGGTTTATGTACACTGAGCTTCTGTTCTGTTACAGGTTTAAACCAGTTTCTGATCACATAAACTGGTTTATATGTAACTTCTGTCCCTAGCCCTGGGGAGTCTGGGCCACTTCCTGTCCTGCAGTTGCAGCAGCTCAAGCCTGCACTTCTACAGCACAGTAGCAGCTGCTGCCCAAATAAGGAGATTCCAGGCAGAAAAGACTTCACATTTCCTCCCTGTTCCCCTGCCTTTGCTTTCTAGGGGTCAGCAAAATTCCCTCTCCCCTGCCATCCTTGCTGGAGGCACTGAAATTGCTCACTACACTTCTGACTTCTAGTAACTGCATGAATTTTGGGTGTGTAAGGACAACTTAATGAAGCTCTAGTATTTTTGGTCTCTCTGCACCCACAGCAAAGAGATGTGCTGAATTTAGGATATCTCAAAGTTCAAGTAGATTTCAGTGTATCTTTCTGGTATAGATCTAGCCCTCCCCCCTACCCCCCCCCCCC